CGTTACAGTTGCCCTTGCGACGCTGTCGCTGGTCAATCGGACTCTCCGTTTCCGCAGCATATGTCTGCTTGCGGCGCAAAGCCAAGATCGCTCAGATCGTCGTCTCTGACGAAAGTGGTTCCGACGATGGGTGGGAATCTATTGCTGTTAACTTGCTGTCTGTGTACGAGTTTTGTTTGCGGGCGGAACAGCTTTGTACTGTCGTATACCCTCACGTAAAAGAGCACTGGAACGTTGGGCGCGGCAAGAAATGCCGCTACGCCGCTCGCGATGTCTTCTTTATGACGCTAACTTCCCTCAAGCATCTCGGAAAATGCGACACTGTTGCTCGCGTTTTTAAGATTCCGCCATCCTCTTTCCAGAAAATGATCAGGGGGATCATGGACGTCGTTTCGCCGTTCCTGTACGAGGCTTTTGTGGAATCTGTCAACGATAAGTGGACGCTAGGCATGATTGTGTGTTCGGGGCATGCGTTCCAAAACTTTCCGTACGCCCGATACGCAACGGATGTCATATTCCAGCAGACTAATAAGCCCGCCGGCAACATGAACGAGATCAATCCCTACTACAGCGGTAAACACCACCTGTATGGCTACAAAGTGGAAGTTTCAGTGCTTCGGAATGGCTTTGACGTCAACTGCACTGATCACACAGGAGGGAGTACGCACGACGCCGCCATTTTCAAGGATAATGTCGCCTTTCACGCACGAGCAATGCGTAAACAAGAAGACAATCGTGGGCTTCGTGACGAAGGTCGATTTTACGAGTCTACCCCAAAGATTGGGCGGTATTTGTAGACAAGGGCTATCAGGGAATGACACGGGAGTGCCGTGCAATCCACCCGGTGAAAAGCAAGCGGTTGCAGCCGCTGTCTTTGGATGACGCCTGCTATAATGACAAGCTCGCTCGTGACCACGTCATCGTCGATAATTTCTTTGGAAGACTTACGCCCTGGGGTATCTGCTCTGACAAGTGGAGGTTCGACGAGGTGTCCTACGATCTCTACTTCCGTGCATGTGTGGCCCTTACCAACGTTCATGTGCGGCTACGACCACTTCGCGGTGACGACGGCAAAGACTACAGCAAGTACGACGCTCGTTTGTGTGAGATTGGCTCAAAGCTTCTGGAAAAACAAAAGAAAAAGCGAAAGCGCTACCAAACTAACCGTGCGGCAAGACTTCGTACGGCATATCGCTGTCGAACGAGCTATTACAGCTCGGTTTCGGTGAGGTCCGAGGATGTAGACAGCGATGCTGAAACCCGGTTGTGATTCTGCGGTCATGGACTCAAGATTCGTGATAGCATTCTGGTAGTTGGTACAGCACTCTCAGTTGTGCTGGAGTAATTGCTCTAGTGGAGTAGCAATATACTTGAATTCCAGCTAAAATCACTTAATAGATAGTATTTTGTTGAAAGTTGATTCATAATAAGAAAATGCTGGGTATCTCCAAAAATGTGCAGGAAGGGCTCATATTTCCAGAAATTATTTTTGAGTCCTATTGAAAAGATCAACGAACGAAATCAAAATGGGGTATCTTTGACAGACTATCAACAGCAAGTTTTTTGGGCCCTACGAAGTGACAAATGCATCCATGTTCCGTTTTTTTGTGGGGTGTTGATGCGTTCTGAAAGTTCCCGATGCGTGGGGGGGG